TTCTGAAAAACTTCTCTCACAGTTCTCATTCCACTCAAACTTGGCATTTTTCTTTGTGAGCCGGGTTAGGGGAGCCGCTAGACTAGAGAATCCTTCGACGAACCTGCGATAATAATCTACCATCCCCAAGAAGCTACGAATCTCCTTAATTGATGTCAACTTCTCCTAGCCAAGTACCGCTTTAACCTTTTTGGGATTCAGTCATACTCCTTCCTTCAATATAATGTGTCCTAGAAAGGCGGTCTGCTTAAGCCAGAATCCACACTTACTCAACTTTGCATATTGCTTCTTTTTTCTGAGGACCTACAAAACTTGGGCTAGATGGTGAGCATGCTCTTCTCTGTTTTTTGAGTATACCAAGATGTCATCGATAAACACAATAATAAATTAATCCAAGAATTCTCTGAAGACCCTGTTCATCAGGTCCATAAAGATGGCCGGGGCATTGGTTAGCCCAAATGGCATGACCAGGAACTCATAGTGTCCTTACCTGGTTCGAAAGGCCGTTTTGGGGATGTCTTCAGTTCTTATTTTCACCTGATGGTAACCTAATCACAGGTCTATTTTGGAGAAGACCTGCACACCCTACAGCTGATCGAAGAGGTCGTCAATTTTAGGGAAGGAATATTTGTTCTTGATTGTGACCATGTTCAATCCTCTATAATCAATACACAGTCTCAACGTTCCATCTCCCTTTCTGGCAAACGTGACTCCGGCACCCCAAGGAGACACACTGTGTTTAATAAAACTACTGTCTTGCAATTTAGTGATCTGTTTCCTTAGCTCTTCCATTTCAACGCGGCTCATGCGGTAAGGAACAACCGAAATAGGCTGGGTGCCTGGTTGTAGGTCTATAGTGAACTCAACTTCCCTGTCACTGGCAATCCGGGCAGTTCGTCCGGAAACACATCTGAAAAATCTCGGACTACCGGAATCTCTTGGATACAAGTTTCCTTCTTGGGCTTGCCTAGTTTGAGAAAATAGCAAGGTTAAAGTACTTAAAAATTAAGGAAATTTGCCATCAAGGAATAAGTATCAAATGATTTTATTAATTTGTAAATAGCTCCTCATTAGGAGGATTGAATACAATCTTATTATTAAAGCAATCTATGGTGGCGTGATACACCGCTAGCCAATTCATCCCTAAAATTACATCAGAATCCCCTGTGTCTAACCCTATTAGGTCTTCACTCAGTTTCCTATTTGCTATCTCCACGGCACAAGCCCTGTAGATAACTTTCCCTAAGAGTGTTTCACCCCCAGCAGTAGACACAAACAATATTGAATCAAGTTTATCAGGTGATACATTAAGTTTGGATGCAAAAACATGTGAAACAAATGAATGCGATGCACCAATGTCAAATAAAACATGAGCAATATGGTCACAAATAGTGTACATAACCTGTACCACGTCCGGGTCGGCGTCGGCATCCTATTGGGTTAGGCTGTAAACCCTGCCCTGAATAGGAGATCTACCTTGATTCTGGTTTCTCGGGCACTCTCTCGTATAGTGCTAGGCACTACATATATGCGACAGGTGTTGTTGAGGAAGTAGCATGGTCGGTCATCGTGATCCATGCCGCAGTGCTGACAGGTCTTTCCACGTGTTGCCTTTGGAGTCTGAGGAGGGGCCTGGATCACTGGTTTGGGCCTCTTATTTGGTTGGACCGGCGCAGTAAGTGCTGGTCTGCGGGGTAGAGCTGAGGGTCGGTGACTCCCTGCTGACTGAGGACGGGTGTTGAAACTCCTCTCCACAATCTGCGTCTTTGCTAGAATGGCTGAGTATGTCTTGAGCTCCAGTACCAATAAGTGTTGCTTGATCTCTAGACGGAGGCCCCACTGAAATCTCCTGGCCTTCCTGCCCTCATCCATCAATGTCTTCGGGGAGTATCAGCCCAACTCTAGGAACTTACGAGCATATTCTGATACCGTCATGTTTTCTTGAACCAGCTGAACAAACTCCATCTCCTTTAGGTGTCGGATGTGCTCAGGGAGATACTCCGTATGGAAGGCCGCTAAGAACTGCTCCCAAGTGGCTGGTGTAGGCAGGGTGGTCTGCTTGAGCTCCCACCAACGACCTGTTTCCCCTACTAGCATGTATGGAAGCAAGGGCAGCTCTTTGCTCATGAACCACCCCCAAGGTCTTGAAAGCTCTCTCAATCTCCGCTAACCAGTACTGGGCATCTTCGAAAAGAGGATCCCCCGCA